CAAGGAGGCAAGCGTCTCGGCTGTCACCGATCCTGATTCCTGCCCAAGCAGTTCAACGTGCCATATGAATAGCTGCCATCCAAAATGAAGGGACTGGGCAAGGAGATGGGTATTGGGCTGGATGATGCAAGTGTATCGTGAGCCAGTGCTCAACTAGACATGAAGACTCAAAGGCCTATTGCATTTGTCGATACGCCTGGAGCGTGCACAAGCTGTGGAGGAATTGCTGCAGTCCACCCCCTGGAGCAACAGAGCCTCAAGCCATGATCACCGGCGAGGCAAAAGCCGCCCATTTCAAGTTGGTGCCAAAGATTAACCTTGCTACTAGTAGCATTCTTGCTACTAGCCCTAATGCCAGGAGCTACGAGGGCTCGCTTCTTGTTCCTTGTGCGGTGGCGCCAGAGGCAAGCCTGATGGTCTCCACGGAGTTGAGGGCAGCATTGGGTGACCATCTCCAAGATTGGTATCCTGTGGGCATCGACTCAGTCGAACGAATTCTGTTCTCGTTGAAGCTGCAAGGCATCCTGTGGACAGAAACTGTTTTGGACCCATGTAAACCTCATCTATACATCACCTCTCACGTCACCTCCCTGGCAAGGCTTCAGTAAACTGAAGACAAAGCATATACCTACCCTCAGCTTAAAACAAGATTTAGGATGAGTTGAGGTAGGCTGTGGGTTTGGGAGTAGGCCATCAGGCCTACCAAAAAAGGTGGTCAACTTCAGCACCAAACTCAGAAACGTCAAGTCCCTTCAGATGGTGTTGATGCACCATCTGAATGCGTTTCAGTCAATGATGCTCATACAAAATGCTATGGATTGGATGTGGCAACCGGCATCACAAGCGTGGCAACATGTCCCCAAGGCTCCTCGGCGTTGAGCCTTCGAGAAAACATGAGAAAACTTTGTAAGGTGAAAACATGAGAATTACTATACATATATATATATATGGAACTTTAACTTTGGAGCTGCTTTGCCAATCTGGGACAAACATAGCCTCACAAGAAACCACCAAATTTTCTTGCAGTTGATGTGTTGATGTGTCTGAATGTATCTGAGGCCGACCTCTGGTGATCCAAGCCTTCTTTCG